TTTTTCTCCTTTAAGCTGTTTCCTGTGGCACACCAGCTATCCCAGAAAATGGTGGCATTGAGGGGTCAGCATTCACCTATGGCAGTAAAGTGCTATATAGGTAAGTGTCTGAAATTAAAACTACATTGTAGAAGTCAATGACATGCTTGCAATGATATAATACTGGAAGAAATAGAGTGGGGAAATAATCCCAGAGGATGTTCTTAAATTAATGAGGAACTAATGGAATGATGTGTGGTGTGAAGAAATCTTAATCTAATAACCTAATAGTAGCCATAGCTAGAATCCTTAAATCCCATAACCAGTCACCTATTATTGCCACCAGCACCCCCTTGAGGCACACTGAGAATGCATGTAAGGAGAAAGGTGCTCCTTGCTAACGACTGAGACTCCTGAAGAAGTCTCAGGGACTTTAGACCACACCACTCTCAAACCAAGGATTTTCTATTTGCAGTTACTAACCCATGACACCAAGTAGAAGCAAGCCAAATTCTTGACTTGAGAATTTATACATATTAAAAAAGTGGGCGCATGCCTGTAGTCCCAGCTACTCGGGAGGCTGAGGCAGAATGATCACTTGAGCCCAGGAGTTTGAGGTTGCTGTGAACTAGGCTGATGCCATGGCACTCACTCTAGCCCGGGCAAAAGAGTGAGACTCTGTCTCAAAAAAAAAGGTGTTTTTTCCCTCCCACTGAAATAATGCCTTAAAAATTTGTTTTTCAAGGTTGAATACTGTACATCTTCCCCACAGGGACCTTGCTGGGTGATAAGTAGAAAGATAAATTCTCAATATTTTTAGAGGTTTTTGGCACAGATGAAATTATGCAAAATAAAGCAAATTATATCCTGGAATTTTCTTCTATCTTCTTCAGATGTAATAAAGGATATACTCTGGCTGGTGATAAAGAATCATCCTGTCTGGCTAGTGGTTCTTGGAGTCATTTTCCTCCTGTGTGTGAACTGGTGCAGTGTTCTAGTCCCGAAAGCATAAATAATGGAAATTATATTTTGAGTGGGCTTACCTACCTTTCTACTGCTTCATATTCATGTGAGAGTGGATACAGGTAAAGTCTGTAGACACCAGCCAAGCTTCCTATAATACCTTGTTACTCGTTATGTATTCATTAAGTTTCATTTGTGTGTGACTGGTCGACAAATTTAAAAACAAATTTAAACGTAAGAACATTCTCAAATTTGTATGTTTCTTGAGGCCCAGCTTATAGCAAATGCCCAGGGAAATATTCAATCAAACTGCTACTCTAGGAGTCCTAGTTCAGTCGCTATAAGCATTAAGACTTTAAACATGAAAGCAAAAATTGTTTTTGAAGCATAACACAATACCTTATAAAATGCTTTTGTGATGGAGTTTTTACTAAACAGCTTACCAAGCTTATACTCAACATTGCACAGGATGCTGTGGAATAGGGTGTCAAGGTAAGGGCCTAGGTTCTTACTACTGTAAGAGGTCAATTTAATTAATGGGTTGTAGAAGGGGACACTATAAGGGACAGTAGAAAAAGACTGTGATCAGAAACATGGTCAACAGCATCTGAATTGGAACAGATGGAGTGAAGAGAAAGTAGAGTGAATAGTACAAGAAATCAGAATCAGGTTGACAAGAAAGGCAGACAATCAGTGGCATAGTGATGCAAGGTTTGTAAAGTTAAAGGAAGGCCAGAGGTCAGAGTCAGGAGCAGCGTGGTTCAGATGCTCAGGCTCATGGCCAGGACAGTGCTTTTTGACCTCAGCTACCCTGATTTCCAGGCTACAGCAGGTGTCTTCCTCTCCGCTGGCTCCGAACCAGCCTATGAACACCTTCTCATCCAAGTAATCTGCTACTCACAAGGTCTGCAGTGCCCTGCACCACCACGATGAGTGCATTCACCTGTTTTATTTTGTACCAAATGATTGTGGTTATTATGTTGTTTTCACCCCTTCATTGTTCTAAGTGGTATATAGCCTGTTTAGATTTCCCTTATTTTATATAAAGCAATAAAATAGGAAGAAACGTTTTAATTTTTGTTCTTCAAGTGTCCACTATTTTCTTCTAACTCCTTCCTGTTTCATCTCCGTAGCAGTAAATAAATAGCCAATAAAAGGGTGACGCCATTCCTTCCTGTAGCTTGCAGGGCCCCTCCACCATAGAATGCACGGCTTCCGGCAGCTGGGACAGAGCGCCACCTACCTGTCACCTGGTCTTCTGTGGAGAGCCGCCTGCCATCAAAGATGCTGTCATCACCGGGAGTAACTTCACTTTTGGGAACACTGTCACTTACACTTGCAAAGAAGGGTGAGTAGAGCCTACGAAGGAAAGGGTCATTGAGGGCAGAGGGAGTGGATGCTCCGCCGCACACAAAACTAAATTTCCTGGCAGCCAAAGCCGTCGAGAGCTTTATGCTCCTATTGTCTGACTGTAGAAAGCAAACATATTCTCCGTGGAAAAAATGTTTCCCTGGAATTAGTGTAGTTTATCAAATTAGGCCTTGAAAAAATGGATATTGGGCTGTGAAAAATGTCTTTATACTTTAATTAAAAATGCGAAAAGCATATTTAAATGGGAATTTGTGTATTTATCTTCTGCAAAACCAAAGGCAAGACTTTAAGTTGCAATGTAAACATGACATGTCTGCAGGGGGAAAAAAATAATAGAGTTCAGGAATTTACATGTCTAATGATCAGATTTAATTCACAAATAATACCTGGAAACCCAGGAAACAAATTTCAAAGGGCTTTCACATTCATTGTCTCATTTGATCTTCACAAAAGCCCTTTGAGTACAGAAAAAGGAAGGGCTCACTCTGGAATGATCCTCTTAGGGTCTCAAGGCAGCCAATAAAGTATTGAGGGGTGATTAAATCCCAGGTCATCTGACTGCTTTCATTGCAATCATTATTTTTTCTCTATGCTTTCTCAATAGATATTTTCATCATTAATAGTGCTTCCACACTCCAAATTTAGCACGGTTGCTTTTCACAAGAAGCAACAGCAGAGGGGTTGCCATTTTTTGGATTTGTATCTCAGCTCTGTTGTTCACTAACTGTGCGGCCTTGGGGAAACGGTGTGACTTCCCTGTGCCTCGATTGTCCTCCTCCATAAAATTAGTTCATTAAAGGCTCATACTTATGGATATTGTGAGAATAAAATGATACAGTGCATGACCTAGCCAGGAAAGAAAAAACCTCAATAAACCCAACCAACTTAGCCATTGTTTTGGTGATTGGAACACAGATGAGAAGACACAGTTTCTGTACTCTTATAAAAGTTGCATTTCATTTCATTTTATCAAAACCCTCAAACACTGAGAGTTTTCAGTTCTTTGCCCAAATATATAAATGGTCATTTGTTTCTCATTTTCCTTCCCATCTTTATGTTTATACTCCTTGGTGAGAGACTCAGTGGGGAGGAAGGGTTATTGGCATCTTAAAATCCTAATCAAATGTTTCCCTTTTGATTCTTCTCAAATACAGACTTCTAAATGCACTTATTAGGTATGTTAAGACAAAATCTTTAATCATTATTATTAATTGAAACAATTAGTGATGCAGATTTATGCTTTCTATTGTTCTTATTAAATTATAGCTGTTTAAATATTTTGTAGGCTGCTCTTTGAAGTCTCTTCTAAAAGGGAAGAGCTAATGACCCACTTGGGAGCTGTCTCAGAAAGCTTCTCAGGCACGTGCTCATTAGTAAGCTCCCACTCAGTGTGTGAATCAAATCACTGATAATTGCATCTGAAAATTATTCTGCCCATTTTCAAAGGATTTGGAGTTATTATTCCAGAAACATGCAACTGTATTCCAGCCAGTTCATCCTCAGATGTTTCCTTCTAAGTCATCACTGTGATACTGATGGGCCATTTTTCCTTGGAATTATGAAATAGAACAATTTTATAATATGTATTTCCTGATTTTTAATAAAAGTCTGCAAGAATGTCCCCAATGCCTCTTGAATGAGAATACAGATGTTACATGGAATTTAATTAAATATTCCATCATTTTAGATTTTCACCAGTTCAAATTTTTCTTTTTGCTTTGTTAGCCAGCATTTATGGGCATACTCATCATTTATACAAAACTTTATCCCTAAGTGATTCTTTAATAAAATATGTGAGTGAAATATGTCCCCTGTAAATCTAAACACACATTCAGGGTTCTAACATGATGAAATAACACAGCAATTTGATCAGAGACTGGTTATAGTGCTATCTAGGCAACAGCTAACAACTGATTCCTTTTTTTTTTAATCATTTGGAAAACATATCCTTCTTTAGTGTCTTAGAAGACTGATGTATTTTAGCAGATATTTATTTTTAAGAAACCTCTACCCTCATCTGCATGGCATGTTATCTAGTTATCCAAAGCACTGGTACCCCTGTCACTCAGGAAATTACATGGGCTTTAGGAGCTCTGTGTCAGGGACTGGGGGCAGAGACCAAATGTGCCTTTCTTATGAGATGACACAATTAATCTATGCCTGCCACACCTTCACCCACCAAACATCACAGTAACCCTGTCAAAAAACACACAGGACCCCAGTTTCTGCTGCTCCCTTTCCAGGTGTCTATATGCCATGCCTGACTATTTGTAAGTTCCCAGTAGTCCCAGCTGTATCACACTCCCCTTTGCTAAGACTACTTTTCTGCCTGGAATGATTCCTCTTCCACTTCTCATCCCTCATGACTGCCCTCAAGAGCCATTTCATCTGTGAGGCCTTTCCTCCCCTTCCCATTCTCCAGGTAGAATCAGTCAGTCCTCTTTTAAGCAACCACTGTCGGTGTGAAGGGGCCTACAAAGTACTGGGTAGTTGGGGGGCAGAGAGGGCAACAGAAGTGTAAACAAGTAAATGCATTTTTGGCATCCCACCTGTGTACTAAGGAAGTGACTCAGGCACATAGCAGGCCCTTAAAAATTATTTAATGAGGCCCTAAATGTTAATTGACTGTCATAAAGAAAAGTCAAGATCTTAGGTCAAACTGAGGGATATTATAGGTTCTAAGAAATTAGGGGTAGTGTCGAAAATACATATTTTAAATCTATTTATTCAAAAAAGATGCATTTAGTGGTAATCTTCCATTAAATTATAGAGCAGATTTGCTGTGATTTTCCATTAGGGAAGAGTAGTTGGGCCGGGTGCGGTGGCTCACGCCTGTAATCCTAGCTTTCTGGGAGGCCAAGGCGGGCGGATTGTTTGAGCTCAGGAGTTTGAAACCAGCCTGAGCAAGAGTGAGACCCCGTCTCTACTAAAATTAGAAAGAAATTAATTGGACAACTAAAAATATATACATAAAAAAATTAGCCGGGCATGGTGGCGCATGCCTGTAGTCCCAGCTACTTGGGAGGCTGAGGCAGGAGGATCGCTTGAGCCCAGGAGTTTGAGGTTGCTGTGAGCTAGGATGACGCCATGGCACTCTAGCCCGGGCAACACAGTGAGACTCTGTCTCAAAAAAAAAAAGAGTAGTTGGTGGAGATTTTCCAGAAGATCAGGAGTCAGAGGCCTAACAAAGTGCTGCCAAGTCACTTAACATAAATTTCTGTGTTGTCAAGAGATTTTGAGAAATAAGGAAGATTCTGGGGGCAGATGTTTCTGCCTCAAAGCAGCTGGTCCATGAAATAAAGGAAGAATTTTATAGATGGCACAATGGATCCTTACAAGTTAGGGATGTCTCAGACTATGTCTCTGAACTTCAGCCAGTGAATTATGCTAATAACATCAAGGGATTCATGAAAATAATGATGCATGGTTCAAAGTGTGCAAATGATATAGATAGTTCTGAAAACACCAGGAGCCTCATCAAATGGAACTTCTACCCAGAGCACATGCTACACAGGTACAAAGAATCTGGACACTCAAACCAGAGATAATGGATTTTTTAGTAATAAAATTATGCTCTTACCATCTTGTCTTTGTATACCTTCCTGGATCCTCTAAGATAGAAGCCATCTAAAAATTAAGTTCAGATCCTTATACAAAGAGCTAAGCTTATCCAAAGCAATGAATTGCAGCAGGCCCTAACTAGAGACTGCACTCAGGTATTGGGGATGTCTCTGGGTATTCATTTTGAGACCACCTCTGTCCCTAGCATGACATATGACTGTAGGCAGGGTGGATGCATATATCTGTGCATACACTGTTATGTTTTTCTTGATCTGTTTGTATCCTATAGAGTTCATAAATATTACCAGCTAGGATGAAGGAATTCTAAGCCCTCTACACTAGCTGATCCTTTATAAAACTAAAAGGGGCCTCTGGAGAAATTTTTTATAACTAATGACTTAAAAAAACTAGAATAAAAAAAAAACTAGAATAGAGGATACAAGAGGTTGGAAGGGGTAGAGAGAAGGGAATATGGGGAGAGATTGTTTAAAAGATACAAAATTACAGCTGGATAGGAGGAATAAGTTCTGGTGTTCTATAGCACTGTAGGATGACTATAATTAACAATAACATATTATATAGTTTCAAATAGCTAGAAGGAGGATATTGAATGTTCCCGACGCAAAGAAATGATAAATGTTTGAGATGATGGATATGCTAATTACCCTGATCTGATCATTATGCAAGCATTGCAACATCACTTTGTACCCTAAAAGTATGTACAGTTATGTGTCAATTTTTTAGAAAAATTTTAAAACAAATGACTTAAGAATCTTTGCTGATGGACAGGTTAAATAAAACATACCACTGACACTGAAATATGGTTTGCACATGACACCCAGAAGTTATGATCTGTCCTGCCTCATTTTTTAAAAAGAGAGAGAGAGACAGAGCAGTGTTGTGGAAAAGGTATAAGTTTTGAATTCCGATAAACCAAATTCAGATCCCAACTCTGCCGCTTACCTAGGTGTGACTTCAGGCAAGTTTCTAAGCCTGTCTGAATCACCATTTGCTTTGTTTTCTTAAAGAAATAAATATTTCTAAACAGGATTAAATTAGGTACTCAATTATTTTGGTCCCTTACCCTTCATTAGTATCCAAATGATGAGCTGATCAGGTGTTAGATATTCTTTCAAAACTCTCTGTCAATTTTCTATTCAGTGAGAGAATGATAATGAAGATAAGAATGACTCAAATACTAATTCTAATACTACATAACCTTATCTTTTGTTCTACCTCATTGAGAGAGCACCTGAGAGTAATTTAAGGCTTTTGCAAATCATCAATCTATCATCATATATTGGCAAATACTCCATGCATAAAGAAAGACTGGGTGTTATTAAGCAAAATGTATTCATACTGATTGAATAGCAGAATCATATATAGAGCACAGCTTTTCTCTAACCACATAGGTAAAGGTTTAGGAGGCATTGGAGACTGAAATAAAAATCACTGTTTTAAAGTTCATTGAATGTAAGTATATATAACCGTGAGCTATATTTAGGCTAAATATGGCTTTGTAAGCTATAGCTTACAAACCAATAGTAAAGACTAGTGCTAAAATCACAAATAGAATTCAGCAGCACATCAAAAAAATAATTCACCATGACCAGGTGGGCTTTATTCCAGGGATGCAAGGCTGGTTTAACATACGCAAATCTATAAATGCAATTCGCCA